TGGGGAGGGGAGAGACATGGGAAAGGCACTGGCAAGACTTCACTTCCATGGGAAAACCAAAAGTGCCATCACTCCTGTATAGGAATCCCTAGAAACTCTATGGTAAAAAGCATAGAGTTTCCAGCAATTTCTATAGCAAATGGATTTTCACATTCCTGGAAGTAATGTCACACTGTCACTCACAGCTCCACCCCCCTTTATATTATTTTTCTCCTGTCAGCCACAGAAGCAGTGTGAAACCAGATTCGGGGCAAGGGATCCTGGGAACTCTAGATGTGATTTATTGTTGCTGTTTAGTCGCACAGTCGAGTCTAACTCTTCGCGACCCTATGGACCATATCACGCCAGGCCCTCCTGTCTTCCGCCGTCCTCTGGAGTTTGCTCAATTTCATGTTCATTGCATCAGTAATGCTGTCTAACCATTTCATCCCTTCTTCTTTTACCTTCAATCTTTCCCAGCATCAGGGTCTTCTCCATTGAGTGCTCCCTTCTCATTTGGTGGCCAAAGTATTTGAGCTTCAATTTCAGTATCTGGTGCTGCCCTGCAAGGCACTTAATGTGCTCTTATGAACTATATAAGCCATGAGTGATAAAATGGACTGTGTAAACCTTTGCTTAAAGGGACTGTACTGCATGGTGACCCAATATGATGCCAGTTGAGAGTACACACATAAGAAAAGAAAGTCTTCCTTTGCGTTGCTGTTCCAGTTGGTTCTCCAAGGTTACCTGCCCTCTTACCTGCTGTGAGATGGACCAGTTCCCTGGCTGCATGAAGGAGTTAAACGCCAAGCCAGGTCAAGCCCAAGAACAAAGAAGTTCCAAACGCCATAAGGAGCATCCTCTGACACACGCAGGCAACCCCCCACCCACCCATACATCTACATGCAAAACTGCACGTAACCGAGAGGTTCTACACATGGTTGCTTGGAAACTAATCTCTCGCCCATCAACAGGCTCAGCTAAGCCCATCAAGAGACAATAGCCCTAGCCCGGTGACTCATACCCTCTTCATCCAGGTGCCACTCTCCAGTCTAAGTTACTAGCTCTCAATATTGACCACTCCTTGTCCCCTCCCCTTATTCCCTTTACCAAATAGGTGTGTTTTTGGGACAGACTAACTAGAGGCATACCAAGGGGATGTGGCCAGCATCGCCCTCCCCCTCCACGTTCCCCCCTTAAAAGGGTGCAGCCATTGCCCCTCACTCTCTCTCCTTCCCTGCACTATACTTTCTATATCCCTCCCTATACTCTTGGTTTTAGTGCTACCGACGAGTTCCCACGTGGCTTGCTGGTTCAGGCACATGACCCCCCCATTCCTTATACTCTCTTTCTATTTTTCCTGAAGAACGCTCATCCATCGAGGACAGGTAAATATACCCACCAACTATTATTCCTGCTAACGCAACAGTTGCTTTACCCTTTCTATCTAAGTTTCTTAGGACTGTACATGTGAAGCGTGTTTATGATTTTGTGTGCTTGAGATACATTGAATAAAACAATATTAATTCCAATCTGAATTCAGTCTAAGTCTGATGACTTGTTAGAAGCGGGACCTCTGTATACACCAGTGCTTGCTCCCGTACTTGCCTATTGCCAATTTAAAAGTCTTAATCCCCCATATTGTTAAAAGAACAAGGCAATTTGGCTAACACTGGCCTTCCAGGGAACAGTCAGGGTTGACTTCTTTTAGGATTAACTGATTTGATCTCTTTGTAGTCCAAGGGACTCTCAAGAGTCTTCTCCAGCACCATAATTCGAAAGTATCTATTCTTTGGCGCTCAGCCTTCCTTATGGTCCAACTCTCGCAGCCATACATTACTACTGAGAATACCATCGCTTTGACCACATAGACTTTTGTTAGCAGGGTGTCTCTACTTATTATTATGCTGTCTAGGTTTGCCATAGCTTTCCTCCCAAGGAGGAGGTCTTTTAATTTCATGGCTGCTGTCACCATCTGCAGTGGTTGGGGATCCCAGGAATGTGAATTCTGTCACTGCTTCTATTTGCCAAGGAGTGATGGGGCTGGATGCCATGATCTTAGTTTTTTTGATGTTGAGTTTCAAGTCAGCTGTTGCACTCTTCTCTTTCATTTTCAGCAACAGGCTCTTCAGGTCCTGTTCACTTTCTGCCATTAGAGTGGCATCGTCTGCATATCTGAGGTTGTAGATGTTTATCCCGGCAATCTTAATTCCCGCTTGTGATTCATCCAGGCTGGCATTTCTCACGATATACTCTACATATAAACTAAATAAGCAGGGTGAAAATCCTTGTCATACTCCTTTTCCTATGCTAAACCAATCAGTTGTTCCATGTCCGGTTCTAACTGTCACTTCTTGACCCTTGGTTTCTCAGAAGACATGTGAGGTGGTCTGGTACTCCCATCTCTTTAAGGACTTGCCACAGTTTGTTGTGATCCACACAATCAAAGGCTTTAGCGTAGTCATTGTATTGTAAAAATATAAAGTAATTGTTTAAAATTAGAGTTACTTCTAAAAGAAGCATATGATAAACTGCTATTACAAGCAAAATCTCAGAAATTATATGCAGCAGGTCTTCAAAGAATACTAAAGTTCCTTACTAAGTGAACTCACTGTTTTGCTGTTTCACTTCTACAGCTTTGAGCACGATAACATTATTAGTTACACCAATTAAATTTTTGTTACACTGTAAAATGGCTTGTTACAGTTCTACAGCTTCATGAAAATAAGTTATGTTCTAACTGTACAGGGAGGATAACTATATTTTTAGAATTAGCTGCAAGCAAAATAGTATGTATGCAGGTGTAAGATTTTTTAAAAATCTGTGAATGTTTGGCTATAGTTCAACTATATTTTGTAGTTCAAATATCATTTTAGGGAAGAATTTTTACCCAGGAGAGTATTTAACAGAATTTTAATTACAAAGATGTGTTTTAGGTTAATAAGAGAAACCTGACCCACTTGAACACAAATATATTCATGAATTAGCTATCTAGTTAACTGAAAGGGGGGGGATCTAGCTTCTCTTAATACATCTGTTGCTAAACTTCAACTTTGTGCCTTCTGTGTTGTAATTCAAACAATATAATATAAAATGCCTTAAAGCAATAGTCTATAACCTACATTATGCTATATATAACAACTACATAATCAAGGTAAAGTTACTGCTGTCAGAATGAAGGTCATTGTGGTGTTCTCTGGCTGGTGAATCATGCAGGAATCTTTATCCTATAGATGGAGCCTTTCTGGTTGCTCTCTAGACATTCTTTCTGCTTGCTCTCTAGACATTCCTCTGCCTGATACCACACACTTCCATTAGTCTCTGGTTGTTTCTTCATGCTCAGCTCTTAATGGCACCTTATCCTTACTGTCTTGTTACCCAAGGAAGTATAAGACTGACACTATGGTATTAATGGTGGAGCTGCGGTGGCTCAAGTGGTTAAGACACTGAACTGCAGGCTGTGGAAGGTCAGTAGTTCAGCAGTTCGAGACCCGAGTGTGCCGCATGACAGAGTGAGCTCCCATCTCTAGTTCCAGCTCCTGCCAACCTAGCAGTTCGAAAGCAAGAAATTGCAAGTAGATAAATAGGTACCACTTCAGTGGGAAGGTAACAGCGTTCTGTGCACCTTGGTGTTTAGTCATGCCGGCCACATGACCACGGAAACGTCTTCGGACAGCGCTGGCTCTTCGGCTTTGAAACGGGGATGAGCACCGCAACCCTAGAGTCGGATTCAACTGGCTTTCGAGCAAGGGAAACCTTTACCTTTACCTATGGTATTAATGATCCCTCATAGCATTGGCTGCACATGTATTTTGTTTGCTTCGTATGTGGTATACCATGAATTGAATAAAAAATCAAACATGCTATCATTTCACCTTCCATTGATTTCCTAACATATCTGCTAAATTCTTCCCTTCTGGCAAAGGAGGAAGTTGGGAAGAGATTGCTAGCTTGTTACCAACAAACTCCTGACCAGATCATGTGACTCTGATACAATGTCCACAGAATTTAAAGCTTCACACCTTTAAATGATATGTGCTATGGGATCAGTTGTGCTGCATTATACGATAAAAGTTAATAAAACCACGTACACGTTTCCACAACCCCCATGGTCATTTTGCAAAGCTGCTATCTTTACAGTTCAAGTTTTTAAAATTCTGTACACTAGAGAAAAAGCAGTAGTTAATTCAGAAAGTGAGCCTCTCTGAATCACATACAGGGAAAGGCAAAGAGGCCTTTGATTGCATCAGTGCAATCAAACACTTTTAACATTTTAATGGGCATTTAACATTTTAATCGGTATCTGACAATCCTACATAAGATGACTTCATACTGGGAAATCCAGTTCCCATCAATGTTTTGAAGCTTCTGCCCTGGCAAATAATTTTACTTTGACTGAGGCAAATACTGAATTGTCTTTACCATTCTTGCTCCTATGATTTCTTTGGCAGTGAAAACTGCAAGAAATGATTCTGTTGCTCCCAAATATTATATATATATTTGGAGGTTATTATCACCTGGGTAGATGCAGATGCCTGTAATACGGAAGTTTTGTATGTACAGAACATTTATTCAGAATCTGTGTGAAACCTTGACAACTGACAAAAAAGAATTGTTACTTAGGCGACACACCCCTAATGTAGCCAATCCTCCAAGAGCTTACAGAGCTCTTCTTACAGGGGCTACTGTAAGCTCTTGGAGGATTGGCTACATAAGGGGTGTGTCGTCTAATAGGCAAAGGGGTTCCTGCTACAAAAAGAGCCCTGCTTGTGGAGGTGTGATTCAGTTTTGATCAAAAAACATTGGTCGGATTTTTTTTAAACACATTTTCAAAGCATGCATCCCTTGGTGATATATTTAATGCTATTTTATGGTACAAAGTTTGGGATGGTGGTGGCTTTTTGGCCCTGAGTTGTCTAAAAGTAATGCAACAAACAGCAGTTGAAAAAAAAATTGTAACTTTTATAAAAAGGCAGCACAAGAATGGCAGAATCTGATTTTAGTGGTGAATGAACACTTACAGAGAGTAATATTTGGATGGCACTGTGAATGACCTCTAGGTACTGGAAGTCAATGATGCAGCCTGTCACAGAGACATAGGAAAAATCATCTAAAATCCCAGGAGCTGAAGGACGCACCACTCTTCGTATGCAGCCTGGCCCATGTTCTCGCCACCAGGATCGATGCATTGAGATGTTAAAGGTCATGAAGTCAGTTTCCTAGTAAACAAAAGGAAAAGAGGATAAAATCCTTTGTTAGAATATCTGTCCTGCTTACAAGAAACAGTGCTGTGTGAATAAGCATTTCACAGGGAGTCTGACATGTTGGTAGTGTGTCCCAGGTGCCAAAAGGGCAGAAGATATACAGGAAGGCCTCCAGAGGGACATCAGCAGCAGGCAAATGGGAAAGTAACAGAAGAGATAAGACAGGGAGTGCTAAGGGACAAGGAGTTCCCAAGGTATTGGAAGAAGGTATTTATACTCTTCCTTGCTCCCAATGATGTCAGGATAAAGACTGCAATTTGGAACTGAGCTCAGAAGAAAGTGAGGGTAATGGTTTGGTTTGCTGATCCCAATTCATACCAAAACCAGGGATATTTTCCTCCTCCTTAGAAGGGTCACATGAGCCCCATCTCTTTGCCATCATTAAGAGAAAGGGAAATTTCACAGCTGTATAATGCCAATAACAAAATTGTTTTCTTCAAAATATAGATAGAACATGCAAAATTTTCTTCTCTCATTACTTTAGCTTCTCCATATGCAAGTAATACTCACTAGCTATTGTTTCTTTGAAAATGTTTCACATAAAACCTTTCCCATTGGGCCTTTCCCCCTTAAGCATTTGTTTCTTCTCACTCAGGTAGTTTTGTATGTAGATTTTTTTGTATACCTGTGTATTGTTACTCCTTATTTTCTTCCATGTTTATATTATTTTGACATTGGTGCCTAGGAGTGTAACATCAACATGAAGATGGTAATGAACTGCTGGAATAAGTCCCTTTGAAGAAAATTAATCCTTCAAAAGCAAAATGTTCAGACCAGATCATTCTCCATTAAAATAACAGATGGACTCATTAGATTCTCATCACTTAATAGTGTGCTGCAATGCCTTCCTCATACATACTGCCATAGTGCAGAAGAGTATGACACTCAGAAGATATGAAACTACTTTTAACTATTCTCTGGAACTATCTAAACAGCCAGCAAAAATAGCAGTACAGAAATGCAATTGGTGTAAGAAATCAAAAATATGCCAACATTGCAGTAGCAATGGATACACCATCTGGTGCTCACAATTACAAAATACAGAGCTGGGGAAAGTTGTGATATCCCTGCAGAAGCACACCCTCAAGAGATGACATCTGGATGAACAAATGGGAACAACTGCACTTTGTGAAAAAATGTATGTTTTGTGAAGACCTTGTTATATGTCATCTTTGTAACAGTCCTGGCTATGATCACACACTAGAAATACTAATTTTTCTGCAGTTCCCAAGTCCGTAACACATAAGGCACTAATTCTGAAGCACAAATAAACATGAAGTATATTCATGAGTAAGGCATTGATCTGTTGACAATCTGAAAATGAGCAGTTTGAAATGTCTGCATTCTGGCTTTTGGATAAAAGTAGACACAGTCCTTCTTCTCTTAATACTTTCCCTGTTGGAGTATGTTGTGGGAACACTCTTCAGAACTAAAAAATTTAATGGAGGCACAACAAAATTCTGTCCCGCACTCTTGCAAAAAAACAAAAAATAATCTCCATTAGTGTCCTGATATCTGCTTTGCAATAAATATGGCCCCACACACGCACAAATATGGGGTACGTAGTCCAATTAGAATCGACCTGACCATGTAATCTGCTTTGAGTTCCCATGAGAAAGCCGGACTATAAACAAACAAATAAATACACCTGTTGTGATCAACAACCATTAAAATTATCAGCCTCCCACATATAACTCTTGGCACACTATTTAGGAATACTGTCTTTATATCTTACTGAAAACAAAATCCCATGTATGAAATGGATGCACTGCAAGTGCAAAACATTCACACCCATGGATGAATCCAATAGCACATATATTCCATCTTCTGATTATTCTTTTGCTCAAAAAATGTTTGACACTCCTCTTGTAAAAGCTAATCAAAATATTGATTAAGGGTACCAGAGTATCAGTTCTCTTAAGTCAAACATATTTCTATTTATTTATTTCATTTGGATTTATATCCCACCCTCCCCGCAGGCGGGCTCAGTGTTTAATGGAGGGAGGGTCATTAAATGTATTATTTATTTATTTATTTCACTTTTACCCCAGCTTCCCCGCCAGGCAGGCTCAGGGCAGCTTCCACAAACTGACAACCAGTATACATTCACAGTAAGTATAAAAATATAAAACATCAGTTAAAACACAACCAATCAATGTAAAACATTCATTAGATGACGATAAAACTAAAGTGCAATTTAGGGACACATTTGGCGGTACATGACACATGGACAAAGAATTATGCCAAAATCTTTGTTAACTATTCTTGTCAGTATGTTTTAATATACAGGTGGCCACTATAATTTTTTTTAAAAAAAACTTCTAACAAACCACACAGAAATCTAATGATTGTAAGCGGCTTCGAGACTCCTTTGGGTAGTGAAGTGTGGGGTATAAAACCAACTCTTCTCCTTCTTCTTTGGGTGTGATATATTATGAACAAAAGTGTATGGGTGCACTAAAATACACATGTACTTTCTACCCTAAAAAAATAAAAACATAAAATTGATAATGTTGTAATGCAGAGTACAATATAATGATCATATAAATCATGTTTGAAGAATCTAATCATTGGAACTGCTTAACTATACAACAAAGTGAGGTCACCTCAGAAGTGTCGGTGCTTCCACATCCCAATGTCACTTGGAGAACATTAAATTCACTATAAATACTAGTTAATGATTATGAGATGGATTTTAGGCATAGGGCCTTTCAGTTAGCAAGAACAATTTATTATTCAAGTCACCATGACTTGAACTGTGTAGCTTTAAGCACCCTTGAATAGTTCAGATGAAGCCAGTAGGGCTACATGTATGGCTTCCCTATAAAAATAGATTCAGTAAAAGGTTCTCTTCTTTCATTCTGCCATGGAACAGAAGAGGGGGAAATGGATAAGGTCCACTAGGAAATAACCAGCAGAACTGGAAACTGACAAAATGAACTTGCAAGACACATGAAACGGAGAAAAGGAGACAGAAATTTACTTTTATTTGGCTAATAGTCCATATAACATAGATCTTTACTAGTTATTGACCAATATGTGCATGCCTCTCCTCAGTTCATTCTCCTGATGAAACCTGGGTACATTTCTGTGATACCCTGTGCTACACCACACTAAACTACATTGCCATGCATGCACAGAGTTGTGTCAGAGAAGGTGGTATTTTGTGGCCTATGCCACTGGTACAGTACAAAAGCCCCATCTTGGTAGTGGTGGTTGATGGGTCCTACATGCCAACTATTAGGCTCTGGGAAGTTCTAAAAGAAGTGGTGCTGTGGACAGTTCTTGGAAGAATGCTTATGCACTGTGTGAGAAGGGATGCAGGGTCATTTCTGAAGCATCACCATAACATTCTGACCATTGTCACGACTTCTATGAATGTGGGAGCACTACTAACAAGGATCATCGTGACTAATGGCTGCCAGTGTTGGAACTGGAAACTCAGTGAGATTAGCAGTGTTGCTATGTTGACGTATGTTTCTACTGCATTGCCTGTGTTTCTCTTTTGCTACTGTAACTATACTACTGTAATGCATACTGTAACTATACTAGGCTAACAATATCACCACCACAACCCCCATCTTTTTTCTCTAGTTGGGATAGAACAAGGATTAGACCACAGAGGCAGAGAAATCAATCCAGCTCTTAAGCATTACACTACTTCATGCTTCTCTTCTTCTCTTCTTTTGTGCTGATGTCATAAGGACACTGAGCCTTTCTGAAACAACACTTATTTCCCTATATAGGTCTTATGGCGTGGGGAAATTATGAGAGGTTCAAATAAAGGTAGTAGTACATGGGACATTACTATCAAAGTTTCATGCATTATGATGTTGGACAGGACAATTCAGCTTAGAGTATTCTCTAGAAAACGTGACCACCCCAGAAATATTAATGGGAAAAGAGAGAGGAAAGCTTGAAACACTGCTAATATTCATTATGATGTTAATACCACTGAATTTTAACTAAGGTAAAGCAAGCCCCATTTGGTCCTATACTGGTAATGTTTGTGGGATGGTTTTTGGTTAATGTATATATCCTATGAAGGCATTTCAGCCACACACAAAAGTTAGTGGATAAATGATGGATGAACGATGAAGTTAATTTGAAGGTGTGAAAGATTGTTCCTTTGAATATTGCAAGGAAGCGGCAAGACATGAAGGATGAATGACTTAAGGGAGGGAGCCCTTTTGCATCTTGGGTGCATCTGAAGAGGAGAGAAAGAGACAAGACTCAGAAGTGTAGGGCAAAAAAAGCACAAGTCATTCATGTTCCCTTTTCTCATGTCCAAATTAGCTCTTTGTTTTTGTGTACTTATTTCAAAACTAAAACTTACATAACAGATAATGCATGTCTGTATAGTTGTCTGTGACTAGATGGTCCTCCATCCTTTCAACTCCTTTTAGGACTGAAGAAAGCAATGCCTGAACACCACTTTTCGAAGTATTTCGAAGGAGAACTATTGTCTCTGTAAATCATTATAGCCAGGGGGGGATCTCATGTATGCTTCTAAGATAAGACAGATGATACACTTTTTTAAGCAATGGAACCAACTTTTCCTTTAGTTTTCTTCTTGTCATGCATGATGTCATGGCTACTGTCCAGCTGTTGCTATGGCATCTTTTTACATCCAGCAGTCTCAATGGCAGGACAAGCACCATTAGAAGAACTGCATTTGGAGAAATTATAAAACATGACTGACTCCTTACAAAACAAACATCTCTGTCCCACAACATAAACGTTTTTGAAAAATGAAACTATTTATACAAATCCTTAGCTGCTGTAGCACTATTTATTTACTTCGCTTATATCCTGCTTTTCTTGCCAAGATTCAAGGTGGATAACAGAATATAAAAATTGGTGCAATCAGATAGCATAAAATCTCCAATGAACAATGCAGTAGAACTAGGATTACAGAATTAGAAAAAATGAGAATATCCCTGTTAGCGGCAGAG